TAATTTTGATGTCTGTTGGTCAACGTGATGGTTGCAGCCTGGATCCTGGTGTGGAGGGGAAAGCCCGTGGAACATAAAGTCTGATGGATTAAAATGCACTCAGGCTAGGTGGGAACACCGTAGTACCGCCCCTGTGGGTGGGGGGGAACTTTTACACTGTCTCTTGCAACAAACTCTGGATCTGTTGCAACACTTTTGGATCATGTGTAGGAAGGCTGGTGGAAGGCCTCAGGGGGTCTTGATGGTTTATGACACCTTCTAAGACATGACAGCTGCCTCTAACAATGCCCTATCAGACCTTCCTGGGGGGAGGAGGGGAAGTTTTATAATTGAGCAGAGGACAATTACCTTTATAAAGAGCACCATTCCAGCTTAAAGGGTGTGAACCTCCCCCTCAGGTAGTGCAAACCTCGCCTCAACAAATGAGTCTGTGGATTAGGGCTTTACACCCCGGCTAACCCAGCCAGAGTTTATTGTCAACATAGCTGCTGAGAATGGGATCTTAGAATCTTAGATCTTAGAATCAGACAGGTTGGAAAGGACCTCTGAGATCATCAAGTCCAACTCTTGATCCACTACCACCGTGGTTACTAGACCACGGCACTGATGCCACATCCAGTCTCATCTTAAAAACCTCCAGGGACAGAGAATCCACCACTTCCCTGGGCAGCCCATTCCAATGCCTGACTGCCCTCTCTGTAAAGAATTTCTTCCTAATATCCAACCTAAACCTCCCCTGCCAGAGCTTAGGACCATGCCCTCTTGTCTTACTGATAGCTACCTGGGAGAAGAAACCAATCCCCACCTGGCTACAACCTCCTTTCAGGGAGTTGTAGAGAGTGATGAGGTCTCCCCTGAGCCTCCTCTTCTCCAGGCTGAACAACCCCAGCTCCCTCAGCCTCTCCTCACAGCACTTGTGCTCCAGTCCCTTCACCAGCCTCATTGCTCTTCTCTGGACCTGCTCCAGCCCCTCCATGTCCTTCCTGAACTGAGGGGCCCAGAACTGGACACAGTACTCGAGGTGTGGCCTCACCAGCGCTGAGTCCAGGGGAAGAATCACTTCCTTGGACCTGCTGGCCACACTGTTCCTGACACAGGCCAGGATGCCATTGGCCTTCTTGGCCACCTGGGCACACTCTGGCTCCTCTTCAGCTTCCTGTCAATCCCAGCTCTCAGGTCCCTTCCTTCCTGGTTGTTCTCCAGCCACTCTGTCCCCAGCCTGTAGTGATGCAGGGGGTTGTTGTGGCCAAAGTGCAGGACCCGGCACTTGGCCTTGTTGAACCTCATCCTGTTGGAATCGGCCCAACTCTCCAGTCTGTCCAGGTCCCTCTGCAGAGCCCTCCTGCCTTCCAGTTGATCGACACTCCCCCTCAGCTAGGTGTCATCTGCAGATTTGCTAATGGCTTTCTCTGTGGACACATTCTTCTCCCCTCAGGCTTGTTTACTTCCCCTCAGACCTGAGATATTTGGACAATAGTACCATCTTTATCTTATCTCAAGTTCCCATCAGGTGGCTTAATTCACGGTCCAGTTCCTGTCAGGAAGCATATGTGGGGAGGGATGGGCTTCAGTGGTCGCAAATGAGCAGTTGCTTCTTTGCACATTTTGCTACAGTGAACAAGGTGATTTTAACAAGGTTTAAGCCATTAACTATAACATTTCAGTCTCTCATACCACGTGGTAGCAACAATGGTCCTACCAGCAAGAAGCAGCTGCCACGTATGACTCTCAGAATAAATCGTGGCATCATGGTGTGGAACCAAAAGGCATCTTCTCTGCCCCCAGAATAATCCATGCCTGCAGAACATGGTCTGGACACAGCCTCCCATTGATATCCTGGCAGTGAGCTTCCATTTCTTAGGCAGGTAAACTACTGTCTTCCAGAAGGATTTGCTTGAGTAACTTCTGGGCAGGGTGTACTTAGGATATCTAAATCTATACAAAATGGCCAGTACAGGCTGTGTGTGCAGTAAGGTGTAGCTGGAAGATGGTAGCATGAAGTTATGGTGGAGCATGAAGTTATGGATACCTTCCACTAAAAATGCCATCTAAACAGCAAAGGGAACTGGCAAATTGATGTAGAAAATGTTTGTGGTTGCTTAGAAAGATTTGGTGTACCTTGTGCTGAAGTTTTTCACCAGCATTATGCCTTTCCCTACCTAGTCTGCAAAAAGGAACCACCCAAGTGCTGCAGGGTGAAATCTGGTTAGGGTGGCAATCAGTAGGGGATGGCTTTTTTTAATCTTTTGGGGGTTTTGGAGTGTTTTGGTGTTGGGGTTTGGGAATTTTTTTGGAGGTGTTTGTTTTTATAGGCCACTGCAGAATGCTTCTGTCTCCCACTATGTAAATTATGAGAACAGTGATGTCCAACTGAACACTGGCAAGGAACTAAAAGAGCCACGACATCTTGATTCACTCAGATCGTTTGCTCGGGGGATTCTGGTTAGTGTTTGCAGCTCAGCATTTGTATTGCACAAAGTCCACAGCCTCAACAGTGATGGTACAGGAATGTACCACAACATCTCCTGCAAGGCCCTTTCCCAGCTTCTGAGATTTATTCCCCAGATGTATTTATTGCTATTTATTACCACTAGGAGGAATCTGAATGCTTTCAACTAAGCACACTTCCATTTCTTTTACGAACAAGATTTACTTGAAGTTGTAGTGTGTGGTGGTTATTCTTGACAAACTCTAAACACACTGTGAATGTTTTGAAAATACAGTTAGCGCTTTTATGAACATTTTAAGTCCTTGATATGGTTTGAAGCTGGCTCCCTGCCAAGTCTTCAAACCTTACCACCAGAAGTCGTCCCCCCCCCAAACCTCAGGGAGAAGAGGGAGAAAAAACAACCAACTAAGAAAACCCGAAACGAGAGAGACAGCTAAAGTGATATATATAAATATATTTACACTTATGTTACAATGGAAATATATACAATTTAAAATATATACAATTTCACAAGGGAAGGGGAAGGGGGAAGGGAAAGGGAACAAAACCAAAATAATATATATATATATATGTCCCAATCAGTATCCCGAGATCTAGTAACTAAAGAGTTAGCAAAGAAAATATCCCAACACTCTCCTTGGGACAACCGAGAGTCACTCCGGGACAATCGCCGGCAACCTCCTCCTCCCAAGGTCGACAAGGCCTTACCGGGCTTCGCTCCCCAACACGGCAGACTCAACAGCAGGGAACCTGCACCTCCAAGCTGCCGGAAGGAAAGAGAGCGAAGGCCTCTCCTCCTTTCTTCTTATAATCTGGCTTACGTAAAAATCGTAGGGAATATTGGGTAAATCTGGACCCTTCCTTGGTTACAAACTGGTCACCAAGGAAGGCCTAGCCCAAACCACCACAGTCCTATACACACTATAAACACTATAGACAAAATGTTGATGTTTATGAAAATCATAGTTTGATTTAAAAACTAATTGTTTTTAATAGCATTTCATTGGTGTTGCCTAAAAGACCATGAAGAAAAAGACTCCAGGCCAATTTAAAAGAATTTAATTAAACTCCTTTAGTGAGTCCGTAGGCCTAGAGGAATACGTACCATGTGCACACGCCCAGACAGTGGCTCTATGATCTTATAATAAGATCCATCCAATTCCAGATTTGTCCACCCCTGGTTCTGCCCTGTTCTGCCCCCCGACACGTCCCTTTGGGAATTGGTTCTGGGGGTGTTTGGGACCCCTACTTCCTCATTTTTGTCTTCTTGCAGCACCTACTGTTATGGTTGAAACAAACCAAAATACTTAAATTTGAAAAGTAGTAAAAATTTATTATAAGATTTATTGAAAGTGCAAATGAGCAAAACAGCGTGCTGGGCGACCAGGGAGACCTTTGCTCCGCTCACGGCCCACAAGCGCAACAAGCAAACAGCAACATTTATACCCTTATTAATTTCCTCTCCCACAGTCACTTGTCATCTCTTCATTGGACTCAGGTTCGCAGGCTCCATTCTGTTTGGTCCTTCTTTCTCGGGCTCAGTTTAGTTGCTAGGGTCTTCCCACCAATAGTTTGATTAGTCCACTGTCCTTGAGGCCTGGTATGTGAGACTTTCCAGATGGCAGTCCTGGCTCTTTATCATCTTGTGCTTGACCCTCTGCTCCTTATCCATCTCCTCCTTGCCTTATAAGTACACTTGGACAATATACTTTTAGAATAACAGGATATAGTATACTTATTTAGCAAAGCATAACAATTTGTCATGTCAGCATTATGGTTAACTATTCTGCAACTTATGATTTTTCAGCCTAAGCGAAGCTTTAACTATATTGCTATAAAGTATATTAATTTAAGATATAATTTGATGAGCAAATTGTTTATTTCATCATTACTCACTCATTACACCTACAGTCCTTGGAGTTCCTCCAAAGTTCTGGGCTTGAAGGTCACTGTGTCTGTGTGATGTCTTCTGGTCAAGGCCTTAGGGTGTTTTTCTACAGTTCTACCTTGAAAAGAAGACTAAACATGCTAACGGAATTTTAGAGGGATTGATATGAAATAGCGTAGTAGGGTTGGGTACGTGTAAACATTATGCTACAGGGTAAGGGATGTAATACAGCTACATTAAAATCTACATTCACTACACATCTACTTCTAAAATCTATAAAAAATTAAAAATCAAAAAAAAGCTCTGAGGCATCATTGGGATCAAATTCTGAAATGCAGTATTTTCCTTTGAATAGAAAACTTTCCATCCACATTTACCACGCTGAACGTAAATTCAAAGGAAAGTAATAGTGATGTCAGACAAAATATTTGTTTGTTTCTAGCCATCTCGTAGATAGGATGCATTATGTTTAACGCCTTTGTAATTGAAATAAAAGACTGCTTTGCTGTCAAGTTGCTGATTAAACCAAAATCAGGCTTTCTGCTGGTGGTGGCTGCTGTCGCCAGCGCCAGCGTTTTTTCTGCAGAGCTTGGAGCAGCTCTGGGTGTACAGCGCGGCCGATCCGTGTGGAGAGGGGCTGACGGTGAGGCCCTGGGACCCTCCTCATGCCCCGAGGAGAAGTGTGCTGTGGGCAGAGACCCCCGAGGCAGGGAAGGGCAGCGCCGGCCGAGCCCCGCCAAGGCCCCCGCGCCGGGCCCGGCGGAAGCTCCGGCCCCGGGACTGCGGCTCCCAGCGGCCCCCGCGAGCGTCTGCGCCGCCGCGGCTGCGCGAGCAACCCTCCCCCGCCCGGAGCGGTGCAGGGCTCGGCCCGACACCGCGGGAGAAGTGGGGCCGCGCGGCGCCCGCCGCCCCGACAGCACCGAGAGCTCGCGAGGAAGCCGTCGCCGCCCCGGTCTCCCCCGCAGCCCTGCGGCGTCTCCAGCCGGCGGGACCGGGCTGCCCGTGCTCGTGGCGGGTGAGTGGGAGGGCGGGCCCGGGGCCGCCGGGGCGGGGCGAGGGACGGACCATGACGGGCGGCCCTGGGGGCTGCGGGGTCGGGGGGCTGTAGGGCCGGGGGGCTGCGGGGCCGAGGGGGCTCGTCGGTGGGGCCGCTGCTCGCGCCGCTCTCTCTTCGCATGGCAGGGGGGGCGCTGCCGCCGCCTGCCATTGGCTGTCGGGGCGGCGCGCGCATGCGGAAGCCCCGCGCGCGGCGGCGGCGATTGGGCGTGGACGGGAAGGGGCGGGGCGGGTCATGTAAAGGAGCTGCCGCGGGCAGCGCGCGGGGCTGGGGGAGCCCCGAGGCCCTCCCGGCGCAGTCACGGCAGCGGAGTGAGGGGCTCTGGCTGCACCCGAGGCAGGCGCTGTCACCCGGACCGGCAAGCCACTGGGGAGAAATGGAATCACCAAATGATTTGCCTTGAAAAGGACCTTGAAGACCATCCAGTTTCAGCTTCTTGCTATGGGCAGGGACATATTCCACTATCCCAGGTTGCTCCAAGCCCCGTCCAACGTGGCCTTGGACACTTCTAGGGCTGAGGCAGCTACAGCTTTTCTGGGCAACCAGAGCAACCAATGCCTTATCACCCTCACAAAGAAGAATTTTTTCCTAGATTGTAATATCCTACTTTCTGCAAATGTGAAGCCATTCCCCCTTGTTCTGTCACTCCAGGACCTTGTTCAAAGTCCCTGTCCAGCTCTCTTGTAAGCTCTCTTCAAGTACTGGAAAGCCACAATTAGATCACCTTGGAACCTTCTCTTCTTCAGGCTGAACAATCCCAATTCTCTCAGCATTTCCTTGTAGGAGAAGTGTTTCATCTCTCTGATTCTGTTAGTGGCCCTGTGTGCAGAAGCATGGCTACCAGCAAAGAACAAATCTAGCTGGCAACAAAAAATTTCTGCAGAAGCTTGTCAGCCTGGTGTTTGAGAGAGGTTGGCATATAATTGTACACCTGTCTGGGTATGTAACCTTAACAGGCTCTCTTGGCATCACAGCAATGTTTTTAATCATAACAGTGTTTTCGATATCACCTGTTGTGTTGCCATTTCTGTTTGCAGGCTTCTTTTACCAAAGGTTTGGTCTGTGAGTTGCTTGAGAGGAACATCTCCATGATGACTGTTTCATGTGTGCAGATACCCCCTATAAGCTAATAATGTACTTTTGTTGTTGTCAATGTGTACAAATTTTTGGGTCAGTATCTCACAATAAGGAGCAACTTTTAGATTCCTTTTTAAAATATACTTTATATATGTTTCTGCTTGTCTAACTTTAACTCTGCATTTAAAGAAATGAAAACCAGTAACAAACTAAAAAAAAAAAAACAAACCAAAACAAAAAACCCCAGGACATGTAATTCCATTAGGTAAATTAGATGGCATTAAAAATTTGTCCCCATACAGCCTGGTATACGGTAGCCTCACAGACAGCTGAGGTACCACTACTGACAACCTTTTGTCTTATCCATCAAGACATGAGAACCTTTTCATAGAAGTTTGGTTGAAACTTCTGTTTCTCTGGAAAGATTGTGGATTTGTAATTTTCTGAGAAAAAGTTAGTGACACATTCCCAAACTCTAATTTATGGAGTTGACTTCTATTTCTGGTCCCAGATTCTAGGTGGAGAGAGATTCATAATAGAATTGATATAAATGCTTTAATTCAAGGAAGAACACATGTGATTGATTCCATGGAAATTGGTGTTCTGATTCATTCGGTTAAATGCAGTAACAGGAACAAGGGAGAGGGCTGCTGAGGTAATGAAGTGACCAAAGGAGGGGACTGATTACTGCTGAAGAATGACAGGGTAATTGGTTTCCCGGTGCCCTGTTGTGTGCAGTGGTGGGCAGCAGCAGACACAGGCACTTCACATTGTGTGCAAAGGTGTGTGCTTAGTATACGACCTACATACTGATCAAACGATTTTTGTTTTCAAGGTGTTGGAATTCGAATGGGTGCTTAGTGTTGGATTAGCTCTTTGTGAGAGCCCCAGAAGAATTGAATTTGTTTGCCCTTATAGCAATCTGAGCTATTTGTTTGCTGTGATCTTTGCAGTATGACATAGAAGTCCAAAGGACCAGCTCTCACTAGTAAAGACAGCAATTCTCACTGTGAAAAATGTGTCAGCACTGGGATAGGTTTGCAAAGAGATGTTGGAATTTTTTCCCAATGTCCTCCCCGCCCCCATCTGTTTCTTCCAGGATGCGGGAAGCAAAGCCGCACGCGCTGGGCAGTGCGGGAGCGGGGGGAGGGCGAGCGCTCTCGGGAAGCACGGTGGCCACGGGGGTGGCTGGGAGTCTGTTGGTCGGAGGTTTTTGGGGACAGAGCGGGGAACCTGGTTTCGGCCACCTCCTTTTCTTTTCCTGAGAGGAAGTTTTTTTTCCCCACGGGACACCTCGCGGAAAACAACCGAGAGACCGACCCATCTCAGAACAAGGTATTCTGCCTTTCGACTGCCTGTGGGAAAAAGGAGGACTTTTTTTTTCCAGTGCTGGCTGTGAGCACACGTGGCTGAGAGCAGCCGTTGAACCACCGGGACAGTCCTGCTTTCCCCCCCACCCCTCCTCAGGTTGCCGCGGGTTTCTCCCCCCCACCTGGGGAATTGGGACTTTGTTTTGTTTCTTCTGAAAGTTTTTGATTGCACCATTTGTCGTTTATTCAGATTTTGTTAATAAACAGCTGTTTCTTTTCCTTTTCCACACTTCCACCTGAAGTTTCTTAATTTCTAAGTTGTTAACAATCTTGTTAAACTAAGACAAGCACCAATGCTGTTATAATTAAATAAATATCAACAGAGTTTAGACTAATTCACTTCTCAAATATTATATGTAAGTGTTGATGGACACTGTCATGTGAAAGGTGGGAGTTTGGATTTTTGCTGGTCAGTACCCCAGGAAAGTTGATACCCCAGTACCCAACAGTCTGTCAGCGTCTTGTGATGCCGAAAAACTTCAGAATAAAAGAACTGCTCAGAGACTTTGCATCTTTAAGCAGCAAGGTATTGGTTTATTGCAACGTTGGGAGTAAGGCAGTTCGCACTGCACAGACTCACTCCACCCAAAAGTGCAAAACAAACCATTTTATATGTTTTAGGTACACAATTACACCTTCTGACATGCATATTAATAACTAGACAGAGTCCAGGTGGAGTCTAGGCGGAGCTTTCGAGAATCTTCTTTGGTACATGCTCAGTCTTTCACTGGGACATCGAGCCTTCATCCTTCTAGTGGTCATCAGGGTTGTCTTCCTCGGGGTTGAACTTTTCAACTTTCTTTGTTAGGTGACCTAAATTCTTCAAGCTTGCAAAATCCTGGCTCTTGGCCTCCTATATATACTTTAAACATTTAGTTTACTTGATTTATTACCTTATGGTCTATTATGTACTATTTCCTAGCATTCTTTCTATAATGAAACCTTGGTCCAGTAAGCAGGACAGAACAAGATATTAACCAGTGTTTCTACAATGTTCTTCTAGCAAAACAGGCAGAACAAACATTAGGTGATACCATCTCCTGGCTCAGCAGGGCAAGGTGTTTTACCAATGTGGTGGTTTGAAACTCCCAAGAATCTAATTTTTGTGTTCAAGCCCCCCTCCCACAGTTTACCCCTGTGAGAGGGTTTAGCGATGGTATGGACTTGATATCTTTTTCACTTCATGTGGAGAGTTTTCAGACAAAACACAAGCATTTGTTATTGGGGGAAGGGGAAAATATTTACAGAGGTTTATTTACACCCACATATATATTTACATTAAATTAAATTTCTCCTTTTCTTCAATAAAAGTCCAAGAAGAAAAGAGAAAAGTCTTTCTGTCACTTCTCAGGCCACAGTTCCTTCATTTCAGTTTTTTGTGGCACTGGTTAGTGTCCTTCATTTTCCTGAGGCAGCATTTAAGTGTGGCAAGTCAGGATTTTGGTTCTTACTTTGTGGAAATTCCAACCCCGAGCCTTCGGGGGATTTCCTTGTAGATCTTCATTCCTCTTGGGTTAGAACATTGAAGGCAGCTTTCAGTTCAGTCTTACCAAAGCTCTTTTGCTCTATCTCAGCTCACCAGCATGATAAAAGCAGCAGCAGCAGCAGCAGCAGAGGGCATGGCCACCTCCTCCGCATTCTGCATTCCGTCCTGGCTCAGCTCTCTGGACGACTCCGGGTTTTTAACTCCTTTCTCTCTCTCTCTCTCCAGCTGCTGCTGCATTTCGGGACTCCCTAAGGGTTTGGAAGTCCACCCCTCTTCAGTAATTCTCTGGGTTTTCTGGGAAAGTAATACAGTCTTACCCCAAACCAGCTCTGTTGAGTTTTCCAGCTCTGTTTTGTTGCTAACTCTCCCTCCTGCAGGAACATCTCTGCATCTTTCAGCCGACTTTACGTTATCTCGCTGCTACTGCTATCTTTTTGGCTTTTAGACGTCGTTGTCTCTGTTCAGGACTGCTCCACTGCCGCTTTCAGTGTCTTCTGCTGCTGCCGACAGTAAGGAAACTTTTCCAGCTCTTGATTACGGGACCCGGTCCAGCTTTGACACTGTACTGGGTCTCCCGTAGCCTCAGCTGGGGGCTGGGGGCCCTTGGCCCCCAGAGGGGCTCACTGGCCCCTTGCCTCCTCGTGGCTCAGATCATGGCTACCTACCTTCTAAACCATCTTCACCACCTTCTCTTCCGTTTCTGTGGGTATGTAATTTCCATAGGGCCCACGTGGACTATTGGTTGGTCCAGTATTATCAGTGGGGCAAACCATTACTACCTCAAAGAAAAGGTTTTTCAAACCACCACAACCAACTAAGCTGTCTTTAACTCCTTTTGTGGTTTTCTCTGCCATCACTTGTAATGAGACCCTTTACCAACAGATTCACAAGTGCTTTGGCTGCCCTTGTTGGGGGGACTCAATAGAGTGAAGACCCCTCAGCGCGTCCTGCCAAGGCGTTTTCCGCTGCTGGCAACTGCAAGGACTCGCTTTAACAGTTCACAGAATAACACTTTATTAATACAA